GATTCAGATTCGACAATAAACCATGCCAAATATTACACACTGGCCCTTTAATACTTCATTTTTCTTTTCTCTACCAAATACAACAGGTAACCACAAAACCTTAATTTAACATAATGTGGCCTATTACACGGACATAAATTTATATTAAAAAATAAATGCTGTGTCGATATTTATGAATCATGTTTCTAATTTGCCTTGTTTTACATCATTTTAGTGGGGTGACTACCAAATGAACTCATAAGTGCAATTCCAATCACATAATTTCAATCACATAAACAAACTAGAGCACTCAGAGAGCGCAGACCTCCGCCAAGCAGCTCGGATTTCCCACCATTTTATTATTTTATCCACTTTGCTTCAACCGATCACCAAAATTGTATCATCTGTTCCTTGTGCCAATATCAACCTTTCCTGAAAATTTCATCAAAATCCGTTCAGAACTTTTTGAGTTATTTTGCAGACAGACAAACAGACCAACGCCGGCGAAAACATAACCTCCTTGGCAGAGGTAACAATGGCTCAGTTCTGCTAAATATGTCCATCAATGAGTTCAGTTAGCGCCCAAAATTTATGACAGCAAAATTTTTCACCTATCTACTGCTTGCTCTGCAGTAGATAGGTTGAAAGGATGCTTGAAAGGATGGCTGCTGCAGCATTAGGCTACTATTTCAATTGAGCTGCTAACAAACTCTTTGCTGCTAATTTAGCATTTTTGACATTTACAAAGCTCTCCAAATGCCTTTACATGCTCTCACAACACATATAAGAAACTAAACGTAAAGTTGTTGTTTTTTTTAAGATTATTTTTGGGCTTTTTCTCCTTTAATGGATAGGACAGAGTGAGGGAATGAGATGCAATAAATGGTTGCAAGCCGGAGTTGAACCAATGACCACGGCAGCGAGGCATCACCTCTGTATATGGAGCGCCAGCACTATCCACTACGCTACTGATGCCCCGAAATGTAACGATTAAAAGCTGTTAAAAACGTGCCAACATACCTGGAGGTGAGAAATGCAAGACTTGAAATATTTCTTCTTCCTCTTCTTACTAGCAGGAGGGCATCATTGGTCATTGTAGGTAGTAGTAGTCTAGTTATGTAAGGTGGCGCCACCTACTGTACAGGAGTGGAATGACTATCAGCACTTTTTTTTTTTTTTTTTTCTTCCAAGTGAGAAATTGGAGGTGTGGCGTGAGACCGTGTGAAATCAACCAACTGCGTGACTCTCGCAGCGAATGCGTGAGAGTTGGCAGCTATGATTTCAGTGTGCTGAAATTAGCATGTAACAGCGAGGGCTGGGAAAGTTGTTTAAATGGAGTGTAATCTGCCATCCTGTGGCAGCAACCACGTAACTGTCAGCTGCACAACAAATCGACAATGTCACCCTACAGGGCAAAACCCATGGTAGCTTTCCTAGCTGAACAAATACTTGCCTGCATGGACAGTAAATAGGGGTTCAAGTCCTAAGGGCTGAAACCCTATTGTTTTGTCTTTTTTTATTATTATTAGGGCCCGAGCACTGACCGGTGCAAGGACCCAATTGAAACTGAAGGAATTACTATTAGGACCCGAGCACCTGTGGTGCAAGGAATTATTAGGGCCCAAGCACCGAACGCAGGCGGGTGAAGGCCCTATTGAAACTGCTCCGTTTAACATTATTATTATTATGGCCCGGGCACCTAGCAGTGCGAGGACCCTATTGAAATGCAAGGAATTTTTAGGGCCGGAGCACCGGCTGCAGGTCGCCGCAAAGGCTATTGAAAATGTTCTTCTTCTTTTGAATTGCATTTTTGGGGAGCTTAACATACTTGAAAATTCATGACACTTTGCAGATATATCAGAAGTGGTGAAAAATTTGATATTTTAGGGGTCTCATGCTCAGGTGCCAAAAATGGCTCAGTAGCGCCCCCTACAAAAAAAAAAAAACAGCCCCCAAAGCTACTTTCAACCACATGTATGAAACTTGGTAGGCACACGTAAGATCGCAGGATGTAGCAAAAAAACCTCCCGGGCCCATGCTCTAAACCAAACAGGAAGTCGGTCATTTTGAATTTACTGTGCAATTTTTGTGCATTTTGGCCATTTCCAGGGGTCCTAAACTAACGAACTCCTCCAAGAGATTTCATCCGATCGACTTCAAACCTTGGTTTGTCCTACCACATGACCTTGATAAGAAAAGTTCTTCGAAGCTTGAGTTTTCATCAATCCGTGTGACCGTGGGATGGCGTCAAACTTAGGGGTCTCGCCACAAAACAGGAAGTAGTTTATAACTCCAGCATACATGGTCCAATCTTCCCCAAACTTTACAGGATTGATGACAGTCCTGCTCTGAAAAAAATCTACAAATTCAGTTGTCTGATGTGATTTTTGTGCTTTGATGTGCCAAGGTGGCTCAACAGCGCCCCCTAGAAAATTTCAATGAAGCAGCCCCCGAAGCTGGTTTCATCTGCATGTATGAAACTTGGTAGGCACCTGTAACACACGTACAAAAAAGCCTCTTAAAGCCATGCTCCAAACCCAACAGGAAGTCCGCTATTTTGAGTTTACTTGTGCTACTTTTGTGCATTTTTGTCCATTTCCAGGGCTCGTGAATTAACTAAGTTGTACTAGAGCTTTTGTCCAAACGACTTCAAACCTTTGTCTTTTCCAGTGAAACACCTTGTACAAGAAAAGTTATTACAGGCTTGAGTTTTCGTCAAACCGTGTAACTGTGGCAAGGCGTTGCAGGTGTCGCAATGAACCAGGTGGATACTTGGTCTCTGCTGATTGATTAGGAGTGGACACAATGTAACAAATTGGCAGTTATGTCTGATATCAGGCAAGCAGTGACCTTGAATCCTCAGATTTAATTTGGGACAAGTATAGAGTCCTTTCCAAGAAGGCATAAGAGATCTTGAACCTATTTCCAATTTTTTCTTTCATAACTCTTTTGCTTTCTGGTAGCCTCTATTAGGAGACATGTACTCACAGCTTTTGACTTGTCCTTATGCTTTACTTTTTGTAAACTGTATAAGGAACTTGGTTTGGACAGGATTTATCATTGTGACAAAGTTGACTGTATGTCAGGGGTGTAGCCATCATTTCAGAAGTAGGGGGACAAATTGTTCAGAGGTCTATTGAGTGATTTATCATCCTCTCGCATTCAATTGCACCTCTCCTTAGGGGCTAAAGAACCACATAACCACAAACAGCCACAGTACAGCACCAGGGGACCAACTTTAGTTCTTTAAAATTATATACTATCAAAATCTAAAGTTTTAGCTGCCAAACTCTGGTTGAGTTGACACAGAATGACCCTCGAGCATCTACAGGGTAAGTAGCCAGATAATGAAGTGCCAAATGACAACACTGAATACGAAAAGTTCAGTAAAACACCATTCCTGTTTGCAAGTTATTAGCACACAAAATGGAATGGAAGTGACAAGGTAACAGGGTAATAAGCCACGTAATTTAAGATAGACATAGACATAACATAAGCCTGGTGTCTGTCCTGACGCATGTCCTTCTCCCTGTGCTACCTATTGCAATACAGACAAAAAACATTTTAGAGTATAAATAAGAGTAGTTCTGAAATAGCTGTGAAAATTAATCTTAGAGTCACTCTTATCCTATAGACTTTTCCTTAGCCAGTTATAATTTCTCCTTACCTGTGAAGCCTTGGGCTGATAATTTGTGCTGCTGTCAGGTCCCTGTCCTGATACCTGCCTGGTTTCTCCCTGTCCCTCTTCTATCTATTGCAATAATATAGATAATAAATGTGCAAAGCAAAATTTATTAATAGAATTAAGAATAGTAGTGGTGACACAGCATGTGGAAATTAATTGCAAAGTCACTTTTATGTTATAGATATTTTTTCTCAGCCAGTTATAGTTTAATAAGTTTATTTGTATCAGGGACAATGTACAAAATAACATTAGTCTCAAAATGAGAAGAGATGCTTTGTACCGGATTTAGCTTACTAGCTGCTTTCCATCCGTAGTCCCTGGGCCTCCTCACCTGTGAAGACCCTGCATGATCAACCTTGCTGGCCTCTGGTCCACTGTCTCCTTCCTGACCCTGCTCTTTCTATTGTGGCAGGAAAGATTAAAAAAATATGTGCAAAAATAGTGAGCACAAGTTCTGCACAGAAACTAGGGAGTGGGTTTATTCCTAGCATGAAACTAGCTAGCAAGCGATTTAACATAGGTAACAATAACATTAGTATTCTTGTTAACTAGCTTAATTTGATGTATTGGCATCTATTAATTAGTCATCATTAAGCTAACATTATCTACATGCAACAGCATTACTCAACTTACACGGTTTGTTTGGAAGAAACTGTGCAAGGGTTTTTGCTTCTTGCTGGCTGGTTAGCTGAACATAGTTAACACACAGCAGCACTACCCAGCAGCACACGTCTCATCTGAGTGATTGATTCAGATCACGACCTGACAGCATGTGTAGGCCGCCTGGCGCCGCCTACTCATGGTGCGTTTAAATACGGCTCGGAAAAACACGCTACCACATGTTAAAAACAAATAAAAGGGTTGTAATGGCCGTAAAAAGTGGGGGGACAGAGGGCACAGATACAGCAAATGCAGGGGACATGTCCCAAGCCTACCCCGCGTCTTCTATGCCCATGCTGTATGTCCTAGGCTGACCTGGCTACTGGGGAATCGCAGGGGGTATGAAAGAGGTAGATTTGGAACCACTGCTGGTGGACCTCAATCACTTTGGCTCTGGTCTTGGCTGGATTTTCAAAATTAAAGCCCCCCCAGATGGTAATATGCTCAAATTTATAGCTTTTTCGTCTTTTTCTATAGAATCAGGAAAACATCTTCAACCTACTCCACTTTGTCTAAATTGTCTGTGTGGGTTTTTAGTATAGTTGCTGCATTCCCAGATCTCACCAAAATAACTTGGTAAGTACAATGATGTTATTACTATTCAGAGTAGTATAATGAGGAGGCCTAAATTACATAAAAAAAAGACCCCAGTTGTAATAAATGGAATCACACTTACCTGGTCCAGTTTCTCAGTCTGTGACTTAAGTCTGCACACATTTAACTTCATCTCTCCATTCTCTTCTTCCAACAGCTGTACCCTGTGTATGCGCACGCGCACACACACACACACACACACACACACACACACACACACACAATATGGTCGAACTGGCGGCACCATGCAATATGGAATGCAACAGATAAACCAGAGCCAAGCACCAAGATGCATTAAAAGTAAGCTAACATAGATGAAACATTACCAGGAAAGCTGATCTTTTTTCAAACCATCAACTCAGCAAACCATTTAGCTAACATTTCTAAAGTTTTGGGGAAAAAAGGTTGCGTGAATTTCCACATCTACCCACCACAGGAAGAGTAGGAACACTGTTTTTAAAGTTTGGGACCAGCAATATTTTCCAGGACTTCTAGAGACAAAACCAAGTATTGTTTGCCTCTTTATTCTGTGCTGGTCCCTGTGCAGTTTGGACGGTTTTGTGCAACCTTATTTACATGAGGTATTGGTGCATTTGTTTTTGACCTAGAGTTAGAATCAACGTGAGTCCCATCATCTCTTATGGTCTGGATGATGGTGGAATATTATTTATGAGTTTACCTGTTGCAGAGCAGGTCTATCTCGGTGTTTCTGTCCCTGTCCATCTTGCTATAAGCCTCCCGGTGCCTCTTGGTCTCCTCCTCCAAACTCTGATCAGCCCTTGCCTCTGCATCCTTCACCTGCTCCTCCAGCTCATGCACCCTGTGAAGCAAATACGAACAATGTAAGGAAAAAACAACATTACATGAAATGGGAACGATGTACCAATCCAATACTGATATTGGGCTGATATTTATACTGGGGCCGATCCAACCAATTCTGTTCTAATGATGTCTGGTTACATGTGCACGCACTATGTCATGCAGTAGACTACATAGCTGAGGGAGTGAACAACAAATGCCAGCTGACTGGAAGCATGTCACCTATCACCTATCTATTTGTAACATTTTGCTCTTACAGAGTTAGGCCCCGGTCACACAAAAAGCATTTCAACAGCTGGAGGCGGCTTTTTATAGTGGTTTTTAATGAGAATGAAACTTTTTGCTTTCTGTTTTTGCATTACTATATGCCTCGCATTTCTGCACTCTAGGCACCTGGCATTTTGTTGAAGCGCTGCAAACTCCTTTAGTTGAAAAAATTTCAACTCAGAGCAGGAAAGTGCCCCATTTCATCTTTTTCCCATTGTCCAATCAGATGATTTGAGAGGCGGGCCTTCTGTGGTGGTCATGACAACAAGGTCACATTTGGTAAACTATACTAGGCCCATGGCTGACAGCAGATTGTCAAACTGCCCCTGAGTCATCCAAAAATGTGCCTGGAAACAGCCATCATGGAGGCTAAGCTCCTGGACCGACTGGTGGTACTCCCCGTGATCCCCCCTCTTTTTTAGGGTCTCATGTACCCACACATATCTCCATTTCCCTGTGCCCAACAAACTAATTGCTGATAGCCTCTCACCCTCAACCAGAGCTACAGCAAGTACCCTCTGCCTGTCCATTTCAGGAACTAGCTACTATTTACTGTGACAATAATTAAGTAGTTTTAGCCAAAATAAATGGTACATTGATTACACAGGAAGGTTAGGGTAAGGAGGTGATGTGGTGGTTGCCTAGCAACAATAAAAAGGTGCAGCAAGCGTGTTTTTAGTAGTGGCAATCAATTTTAAAAAAAAATTTAAAAAAGGCAATGTGGTGTGCCTCATGTTTTGCAACCTGCAAAATGCTTTCTGTGTGATCAGGGGCTTGGGAAAGCAATGTTCCAGTCAAGTCTGATGTTGCTTTACACATAAAAGAATACTTCCAGTCACTTCCACGCAGTGAGGCATACAGCTTATTAACACTAGCATCTGATCAGTACACGTTATTGGCTGACATTAAAAGCCCAGCTATCAGGTCTGAAAAAGTCAGATAAGTGCATCCCTAATGGAAACATGCAGTGTTTAACACAGCAGCAATAAAGCTGCCATCATAAGCTGTCACACTGGGCAGCTTTCATCCTCCATACATGCCATCTCCTCAGCTCATTCAGTAATTTTCCATTCACCCCGCCTCGTCACCACACCTACCTGCCAGCCTATCGCCTGTCCACTCATTTCCCGCCCCTGCCAGTCCTCACCTCATCAGGCTTACGCCGCTCACCTGTGGATTAATACCCCCTGTCACTATAAGACGCCTGCTTCACAGACACTCCTTGCCAGATTGTTCTTCTCCTCATGCAAGACTTTCCAGCATGTTTCCAGACTGCTTCCTTGGTATCGACCCTGCCCGCGACTCACCTGCTTCATCTGATCCCCGGTAATCCACTCTACCTTCCGTCTTCTAAACTGAACATTGATTCTCTCTGTTTCTTCCCCAGTCTGCATTCCCTGTATTTATTAAAGTGGTGCATTAAAGCTTAGAATAAACTGTTCCGCGGGTTCCTGGTGTTGCTATTGGGTCCAAACTCCACCCATTACAACCTGTATGATTTCCAGATGAGATTACATAGACCTACAGAGCAAATCATCAGACCTAGTACTCTACCCCCAGTCTTTCAAAATAAGCATGTGAATTTATCACATTCTTGAGTAATATCACATGTAATACACTGTATCTATGAGATACACTCCAATGCCGCCCAAGCATGTTTTCTGCATGGCTTAGGCATAATGTGGTTTTTAGACATTTAATGCATGAAATATAATACTCAGCATGTGAAAACATGAAAATCACATGTTCTTTTTGTGAAAGTAAACCTGACTCATTTTAATGAATAAATAACGGATCCAGGGCTTGTGTTTTCCCACCTGTGTACAAGTTGTGTGTTCTCCTGTTTGAGTTTAGACTTGAGGTCACCGTTGGCCAGACTGTCGCTTTCCAACTCTGTCACCTTCTTCTCCAGATAACTGACCTGAGGAAGACAACAAAGCCTTAGGTAGAGATGAGCACCTGGTGTTTTGTAAACTTTGTACTATGGACATTCCTGATATCTGAGCTCTTTTATTAGGTTCACTGGTCCACAAACTGCAACTGCACACTAGGTCAGGAGGTTGAGTTAGAGTTCAGCTAGTCTCCTGCTTTTATTCCACATGACAGGGTTACATGCAGAGGATGTGAAATATACAGATGCTTCGAAACCAAACATCTAGGCTGACAAAGAAACAACTCTCAGCTCAGTGCTCCAATATCCACAAACAGTAACTGCTATCGCAACTAGAATTTGAGGAGGAGGAGGAGGAGGAGGAGTGGGAGTGGGTACCAAGCCCCAACAAGCCCTTGCGATACAGATTATTTTACAGCACGGGTGAATGACCTGAGGTTGAAAATCATGGACAAGCTGGAAACCCAGCACCCCAAAGCCAATTACCGAGGCTAAGTGACAAAGTACCCTCTGAAAGTCTGCTAGATGATGTGAGTGCAGTACTACTTATTATCCCAAGTAGGACCATAACTGAGACCAATCAGCTGATATACACCACAGCAACGGTGATCCTGGAGATGCTTGGCTACAATATCAATACTGTAAGCCACACTGTAAGCCACAAGGACCATTCCTGTGCACTGACTGGATCAACTACAAGAAAGCCTATGACTCAGTCCAACAAACATGGATAATGGAATGCTTGGAAATGTACAAAATCAACAGAATACTAAGAGCCTTCATCAATGGGACTGTGGAAAACAACTCTGGAGTCCAACTCAAAGCCAGGTGCACAAGTTACCATCAAGTGTGGCATATACCAAGGTGATGCACTGTCCCTGCTACTGTTACTGCATAGGCCTGAACACCCTCAGTGGCTACAGATACCAATTCCGAACTGGAGCAACCATCAGTCACCGTCTCTACATGGATGACATCAAGCTGTATGCCAGGAATGAGCAAGACATCGACTCACTGATCCACATCACCAGGATCTACAGCAATGACATTGGAATGTCATTCGGACTAGATAAGTGCGGTTGGATGGTGTCAAAGAGAGGGAAGATGATCAGAACTGAGGGGGTTGAACTACCAGAGGGCAGCATTGCAGATGTTCAGGACAGCTACAAATACCTTGAGGTTCCGCGGGAAAGAACAAGGTCCAAGCCATCAATGCCCTGCCAGTCATTAGATACCCAGCTGGTATAATAAGCTGGCCAAAGGAGGAGATAGAGGCCACTGATATCAAAAAAAGGAAGCCTCTCACAATGCATGGAGGGTTTCATCCCAAGTCCAACACCCTGAGACTGTACAATAAGCGAAACGAGGGAGGCGGAGGACTGATCAGCATCAGAGCAACTGTCCAGGACTTAACAACCAAGATCCAGGAATACATCAGGAAGATGCCCCCCAAAGATGAGCTGCTGAGTGAATACCTCAAGCTGCAGAAATCGGAGAATGCCGAAGATGAGGATGAACCATCATGGAAGAACAAGTCCTTGCACGGCATGTGCCATCAACAGATTGAAGAAGTGGCCAACATCAAGAAATCCTTCCAGTGACTGGAAAAGGCTAGCCTGACCGACAGCACAGAAGCACTAATCATGGACAGGCGCTTAGTACAAGATCAATAAAAGCAGGGGTCTACCACACCAGACAGGACCTCAGGTGCAGGCTGTGCAAAGATGCTCCTGAGACAGTTGACAACATAATTCTTTCTGTTGCTATAGCACCACCCAGTTGCCAATTAGAGTTAAACTTCTCCCGTCACTTTGAAGCGTCCTGTTCTACATATCTACCAAGTTTAGTAAAAATCGATATGGCGGTTAGGCCTAGATAAGAAATTAGCTCTCTAGCGCCCCCATTTTGTTTGATTGGGTCAATAATGGAGGGATCCCCTCAGATTATGTGTGGTCATATGCTAACAAAGTTGCATGGTGATTGGTGAAACCCTTGAGATGTTATACACCTTTATGTGATGAGCCACGCCCTCCGCAATATTCATTGCCTTATAGAAGCTCAGTTTTAGTAAGTTTTCCAACTTTTGCCAAGAGGGAACTTTAGATATTGGTCCCTAGATTATGTTCACCAAGTTTCATGCAGATCGGTCAAACTTCCTAGGAAGAGATCGATTTTAAGTGTTTTTCAAAAAATTTAAAATGGTGGAAAATCTATATGAACGGAAGTTATGGGTTCTTGGGGAAAATTTGTTCCTGATGAGGAGAGGCATCTCTGTGCAAAGTTTCATGTCTCTACAACATACGGGGCATGAGATATGCCCATTCAAAGTTTGCAATTTCAGTCAGTTGCTATAGCGCCCCCCTTTGGCCAATTGATGTAATATTGCTTCATTAGCATCCTCCCATTACCCTCTACCACTGTGCCAAATTTCACATGGATTGACCAAGTCTGTGAGGAGAAAAACATGGAACAGACACACCCACAGACACAATTTATCATTATATAGTAAGATTAAGAGCATGCTCCAGGTGAAAGTGTTGGTCTCAAGTGAGCAGGCAATTTCTAGCTTTAGACCTTTCACTTGGGTATAGTTGGTTCTATAGACTACCCTCTGCCACTAATGACTCACCTCCTTTTGTAATGAAGCTTATATCTGGCCTGTCTTTCAATGTGATTATTGTACTGGGGATTTTTGATATGAACTGGTTACAGCTGCTGTCTGAGTTAAAAATCTTACTGTAATTCTTTAAATTTTTCAAGGTAGTTGACGCACCAATGAAACCTTACCTAAATCAACCTCTTCTTTAATTTTATTTTTAACAAATTGTCCTGATTAATACTCTTATGCTTCCATTTTTGCAAATGATAGTGTTGATTGTTATTGGTATTGTATGCTACACAAAATCCTTGAGCAAAACCTTGCATTATGAAGCAAGATTTAAAGAAAACATTCTCCACATTTGAAGTGGCTTTCCAATTAGTTGATGGTAAATTCAGTCACTTGAAGCAATACATTTCTCAGTGAATGTCACATTGACAGAAGCTGAGTTTTCCTTCTTTCAGACATTTCAATGCCTACATGCACCAGGATGAATTGCCCGAGCTCCAGACACTTAACCCCAAAATACTCCCCAAACCTGCCCAGCATGTGGAGGTGGGTATCAAGTTTAGACAAAGTAAGGTGTCTTAAAAAAATAAAATCCACTGTTTAACTAGAACACCAGAAAAAACACAAATTTAATATCACTGGTGTCAACACCGGAAAAATGACACATTTACTAACACTATAGCAACAAACATGCCTTACTGTAAAGTGCCTGGAGTGAAACGGGTGTGGTATGGACCCAAATGCAGTACACAGGCGCTCAGGAACAGTTGGTAATGACCTTTATTTTCGCCACAGCAAACAAGGTACGGAGCAGATAGAATAAACATAGAATAAAGTTCGTTCTTCGGGCTGAAAGCCCACAGTCTCTGGGGCTCAGACGAGGGAAAGAGACGCGGCCGGAGTCGGCCGTGGAACCGAGGGGAAGCTCCTTAGCCCCCGGCTCCAAACAGTTCAGTTCTCTTTTGGTGTGAGGGGAAGAGAAGTAGCTTACTTCAGCCGATGACGACGAGGAGGAAGCTCCGTGGCCCGAAGAGCCGGCTGCACGTGCGGAGGTGTCGACGGGGAGAGAGCAGAGGAGTGGTCGGAGGCAGGCGGGGGGGGGGTCGTAGCCAGATGAGCAGTCCGCGAAGGCAGAGGCACCGATGGGGAGCAGGCAGGAGGATAGACGAGGCCAGGCGGAGGAGTCGTTACCAGCCGAGCAGCCAGATACCAGAAACGCTGAGGCAGAGCACGAGGTCAGGGACAGAAGGCAGGTGAGTTTACCGGGAGGCAGACGAGGAGAGCAGGTCGGGAACGGGCAGAGTCGGCACCGGGAGATCAGCCAGGAGATGAATGCTGGAAAGTCTCGCATGACGCTGAAGAACAATCTGGCAACGAGTGAGTGCTGGAGAGGCTTATATGCAGGGCTGATTATGATGAGCTGCAGCTGTGTAGGCAGATGAGCAGAGTTGGGCTGATAAGATGGGCGTGGCTGGCAGGTAGAGTGGAGCAGAGGGAAGGAGAGTGGAAAATCACTGTAGCAGAGTGACAGGAGGGGAATGAGAGACAGGGACTGTGACATGGAGACTGTGTATCACCACCACAGCCAAAAGCCATTACTTTGTCAGCCAAAACATAATGTTAGATGACAAAACTACTCAGTCAATGATAATCTGCCCTCTCAGCCTGCCAGCCTTGGTTGTTGTTTTTTCAGTTTGTCTTTGCGATCCTGAAGAAGGTCTCCAGGGATTTTCTCACCAGCCACACTTAGCTATACAATCGGCGACTGCCGATATATTCAAGAACTTCATTCAAACTCGCTGTTTGAGTTTCTGTCAGGATCAGAGGGCAATTTGAGTGAAGGCACCACCAGTCGCTGTTTGCTCTCAGCAGCTCAGGTTCTGTACGGCTATGCTGCAGCCTCAGTCACTTTCAGTCTCATCTGAATTCAGACTAGCTGATTTTTAGGCAGTTACGTAATGTACAGGCACAATAAAAAAAAAACAAAAACAAAGGCTGCTTATTTTGAAAAACAACCACACAGTGAAAAAATTAAATAACCAAAGATGTTTTGGAAGACAGTTGTAGGAGATGGGGCCAGGTCTGAGCTTCGCATAGTATTATAAAAGATTCAAAAATTATTAGTGACAAAACAACAATGCTTAATTGTTTTAATGAACACTTCATTGCCTCTTCTGCCTTGTTTATATTTCTGGATCATATTTAAGAGTAGGCCTAAGTGGAGTAATGAAGTAAAGACAGCAGCTGACAAAAGTTCTAAATTATCATTAACAGTATGAACACAGACTCACACACAGAGTCAAGTCATTTCAAAGTGATCCATATTTTATGTATGTGTCACCACACACTGTGCTACAATAATATGAATGGCAGATCTTATCTGATGAGACGAACTGCTCGGAAACAACTGACCGCGCCGATT